CAGGGGGCAGGAGTGCATGGAGGGATGGACACAGGGAAGAGGTAACTATGGGAAGGCAGGGGAGGGGAGCTGCTGCATTGGGGTAAGTTACAGTCAGTGTCATGAGACAAAGTGTATGTGAACTGCTGTACGGAAAGTGAATTTGCTCTGTAAATTTTCACCCAAATCACAATTGAAAAAAAAAAAAAAAAAAGGCCACTCTGCCCTGTGGAGGAAGGGACACTCCAGCCCAGAGCCTGAGGTGCACAAGCATAGCCCCTGCCACTGTAGGCAGGCAGTTCTGGGGGACAGGGCCCACCAGCAGGGGGAGTTCAGAGAGGAACGTTTTTGTCCCAGGGGCCTCCCACGTGGGAACCAGGTGATAAGGAGACGGCAGTTCACGACCTGCCTCCCAAGAGCTTCACTTGGGAATCCAAGACAGGGCCTGGGATCAGGGTTACTGCTCAGCAGTTCAGCTTCTGGGATGGAACTCAGGGCCACCACGACTGACAAAGTGCCAGCCACGGTCATCCAGAAGACGCATTTAAGGGAAAAATAACTCAAAAGAAAAGTTAAGGGTCCTTCTTGCAACCGTTACGTCCTAGCCTGACTCCTTCTGCCCAGAATGTAGTTGAAGCCCACCTTCCGATTTTCTTGCAGTCCAGGGCTTCAGCCTCTCGGCAAGCTGTCTCAATTCTTGTGCTAGGGCCTGGTTTCCTTTCTGGGAAGCCAGACCTGATTGTGTCCTGTGCACAGCCTTCCAGACTGTTTCCTCCTCTCCTGTTTGTGCAATGGGCCTCAGCGTTTGGTGAGCACCAGCATCAGCTGGACGGCTTGTGGGTCCCAGATGCTGGCTGGCCCACCCCAACTCTCACGCAGAACTGGGCGATGGCCTGGGAATGTGCATGTCTGCCAAGCCCCCAGTTTACAGTGACACTGCTGGTCCAGGGATCCCACTGTGAGAATCAATGGTCTTGCACAAATAGGAAAAGGAAAATCTCTCGGCATCTGAAACACTGGGCTGCACGAAGGTCCTGTGATGGCTCTTCTCTGATCAGAAGGAATTCTAGCTACTCCCTCTGGGCTCTCTTCCCTCCAGACGGGTGCCTTGCAGACACTGCTTCTATGCAGGGGCTCGGATCCCTTTCAAAACACATAGAACTAGATTTAAACAACCTCTTTATAGGCAGCCTTGAATTCTTAACACGAGAACTCCATTACTTGACCAATTTTCTGTGAACACTCCCACGTTTGCTGTATCTTAGCATACGCATGTATTTTTCTATCATCAATGAACCATTTCAAAAGTAAATTATAGTCTTAATAATGTTGACAAGATTAACACAACTTCAAGCTAGTTTTCAATGTAGTATTTGTTCAAAGTGATCTAATGTTCTAGTTACAACTCCAGGACTGGAAAGTTCACCCGATAAAAGTACTCAATGTCAAGTGAGTTTGGGAAATATGGGTCTCCAGGAGATACGCAGCAACTTAACCGAGCGCGTTAAAGGACCAGAGGTTTATAGTGACCCCGCTGCTCCTGCTAACCAGAAGACTGGCAGTTCAAATGCACCAGCCAGTCCTTGGAGGGAAGGTTGGACAATCTATTCCCATAGTGATACCGCCTCAGAAACCCAAGGAGCGGTCGCTATGAGTCGGGTCTGACTCCACGGCAGTGAGTTTTTGGTTTTATTAGATCTCCTGAAGCGCTCTGGTAGCGTAGTGCCTAAGGCCATTGACTGCTAACCAGACGGCTGGCGGTTCAAACCTACCAGCCACTCAGAAGGAAGGCTGGGCAATCTCCTTCTGCAGTGATATTGCCTCAGAAACCCAAGGAGGGGTTGCTATGAGTTGGGTCCGACCCTACGGCAGTGAGTTTGGTTTGTGGTTTGCTCCTGGGTAAGTGGGCTCCTCTGTACCTTGCTCTCAGTGAGGCTGGAGGGTTCCTGAACAAGGGCAGCAAAGCACTCGAAAGGGGGTGACACAAAAGCGAGGCTCCCTGTGAGCAGTACGGTTTTATTCCAATGGAATGCTTGATGAATCAGTTAATTTTCTGCCCAGCTGTTGTTTTCTAGAAGTAGCCAAAAGACAAAAAGATTTCTGAACAGTCTGAGTTAGTCACAGCTCTGGTACAGCACAGGTGAGCCTGGAAAGTTCGGGAACAGCCATAGAGAAGCCTGGACAGGTGACAGGGGCCGAGGGAGAAAAACTCCATGACAAGTTAACTGGAGCACAATTCAAGTTTATTCCATTTGTTCTTGCAACACAAAACTTAAACACAGTATTATTTAGCCTTCAGGTGTACATGAACTAGGATAATAGGAGAAACCCAATTGTGTCAAAAGGTTACATTGTGGAAAAAGGAACTCAAATATATCAAAATGCACAAAGCACTAGTCTCCTTCCATTACTGCTTAGAAAGAGATGATTGTTTCTCCATTTACAAGTAGAATCAGGACAATCGGAAATGCTGGGATTCCGCATGCAAACACTGCAGATGCTCCCACAGGGGGCGCTCACCCGGCTTCTCTACACAACCGAGCACGCGGGCCGCAGCGAGGAAATGGCAGCCGCTCACGTGGAGCTGCATTGCACTTCAGCAAACAAAACCCAAACAGGGACAGGTAGCTTTCAAACCCATGACTCGAGGAAAGATGAGTCGAGGCTCTACTTGTGCGCGGCTCGCACACACTGCGTCCTCACCCCTGTGTGGCGCTGCCTTGCCCTCCAAGCCCAGAGACCAGCCTGAAGCTGCGAGGGCCGGTCTGCAGGTCCAAGACTACCGACAGGCCGGCCTCCCATCTGTACGTGCTAGAATCAATGCGCACGGAATGACTGACTGAATACAAAACTATACAACATGCAAGGCTTTTTGAGATGTTAGCTATCATGTCAATGGAGAACAAAAGTTACTTGACCTTTTGCTAATGCATGTAGTACCAAAAAAGCAGACGTGGCTTCAGCCTCCTTTACTCAACATGAACAGTAAGTGTTGTGAGTGAGTTTCTCTGCCAAGTGGTTCAGAAAGACATTATAAATAACCTAGTTTAAAAAAAGAGAGAAAACTGTAAACCACCTTGGTCAGTCTATTCTAGTCTATGTTTCTATGTTATTTTCTCAAGCAAAGCATCATAATGATGGGTTTAAAAATGGCTGAGGAAGAAGAGGAAGGTGAATCAGCCTCTACTGCATCACAAGGACCAGCGGGATAAACTATACAAGAGCCTCGGGCAGGGACCACGAGGGCGGCAGGAAGCAGACCAGATGTAGCAACAACAGGACGACGCGCTCTCTGCAACAGCCTATGACAACAGAATACTAGGAAAGCAAAGGTGGGCATCATGTAAAGGGAAAACCAAGCCGTTTAAACTGCGTTATGCCAGGCAGCCAAAGACACGCAGAGCACCGTCCGCCATCCAGGGGTGCTCTCGGGGACACCACAGAGTACTGAGTACCACCCTGTCATCCACGTCTGTCTCCACAAGACATTAGTCAAACACACGCCAGCACTGAAACACCGTTCTGTGATTGTTTCTTTGGACCCAGGAGAACTGAAAGGTCAGACTAGTCGCAAGCAAACAAGCCACAGATAAAAATAGGGTTCCTGGGGAAAAACACACACACACACACACACACACACAATGCACACATCAGCAACTCATCAGTGAGATTTGTCATCAGCCAGGCTGACTTCTGGATAATCACTTCTCCCTGTGTAGATGCTACATTGCCTGAAAAGTCACCACTGATTTCTATTATCCACAATCTGAATGTAAGCCCCTCTCCCACCCTTTCCCCCTTTGTAAAAATTTGAGGTACATTCAATTATTGCATGACTTGGCTAAGGAAAGACTCCACTATTTCTTGCAAGCTTATATACAGATGGCAAGTCAAAAGAATCCAGAAGTATGTTTTAATTAGCTGTACGGCTTGTGAATTAACACGTGGAGACGTGTCCAAATCTTTTCTGCAGGACACAAGAAAACCATTTTAGGGCCTTGTACCCTCAGATCACAGACTACAGTCGGAAGGTGTCACGTGTAGGCAACACAACTCTCAAAAGAAACGAGGCCATGAGGCAGGCGGGGGCGGGGGTGTGTGTCCAGAGAAGCCCATCAAGCCCTCAGGGGAGCCGGGTGGCAAGCGCCCTCTTTGAAGCTGCGGGTAGGTCTGTCCACCCCGTCCAGCCTGCCCCGTGCTCGCTTTGCTGCAGTGACTCATCAGCATCCAAGCCGGGTCTGAGAGGCAGCCCCGAGAACATCCCATGATTCGCCAAACACAACCGAGTTCAACGCAGTCAAAGAGCAAATGAAGAAAACCCATGCGTGCTGCTAAGACAACTGGTCTCTACGTGTGGTATGACAGGCTTATGGCTATGATTCTGTTTTTAAATCCCCTTTACTACCAGCAGGAGTTTGAAAATATTTCAATGTTATATAAATGTCTGAACCTAGAGGAGAGAAAACTACGCATACTGGAATGATTTCTCCTTTAGACTTCCAAAATTTACGCATCTTATAAATATCACTAGTTGGTTTTCTCTAAAGACACATGAGCTCCAAGGTGAAGGGCGAGGAAATCCAGAGTTGAGTCGTCCGGCAAGGTCGGGGCCCCCTCACCTTGACTGCGCTTAAAGTCACTGAGGGAAGGTGTGTTCACCGACCACAGGCGGCGCTCATCACCGAGCCAGCAAGTCCCCAGTAGAGTGCACTTTTAAGGCAGAAGGCTAGAGTGGGGTGCTACCTCAGCACCCCAAGTTTGCCTCACAACGGCCCCACTGCTTGCACAGTTGGGGCTGCCAGATGAGGTCAGGCGCCTTTGCAGACTCAGACCCCCAACACCACCTAGTTCACAACTGAGCTCGGGGGCTAGCTGCAATGGTCAACTGGGCATGTCTATTTTGTCTCTGCTGTCCCTTGGGGATAAGCTGTGGATTTCAGGAGATGGAAGAGAGGCCGACTTGATCGGGATCCTGGTAACAGCCTGATCAGACTTTCCCCTCCTTCAAAACCTTTTGTTTCCTGGTAGTGTGACTGGTTATGAATTTCTCTCTCCCCTCACCCCTCGTAAAGAATTGAGCTGAAGCAGCTGGCAGATAGAGAGTGACAGACAGACAGGCAGCAGTGTGAGGCCACAGGAGAGTCGTCCTTCAGGACCGCCAGGCCACCGCCCATCACTGGAGCAGCGCTTTGATGGCCTGGTTGTCAGTGGCTTCAAGGGCAGTCAGTCCGTCCGGGCCTTTCACCGACTTATCGGCACCCTGGGGAAGAGAGGAAAGAGCCGTTATCCCTCACCAGGCAGGAGACTCAGGGCTGGATTGCTTGGCTCAGGCTAAGGTTAAACCAAGAACTACAATTCCTCTGCTAATGGCACCCATTCTACTGAAAGAAAAAAAAAAGTTGGAAGGGTTATGGACTAGGTTGTAAAAATGCCATACTGTGTTTCAGGTACCAGAACTTGCAGGCTACACACACGCGTGTGCGCATCAATGAAACAGCCCCTGCCCGGGAGTTCACTCACCCGACCACATCCCCGCCAGTGACTGAGGCTCTAGGTGACTGCTTCCCCTCACACGTAGAACGAAATGGAAAAACACACCACTTTCCGAAGGAAGAAAGTATTCCTGTGACAAAAATGATTTTCTTCTCTCCAACACTTTTTGGGAAGTGTCTGCATCCATGCTTCTAGAGCTGGTGCTTACAAACCTGTTTTAGAAAAACTTCCTAGAACACGCACAATGGCGGCCATTTTCCTTGTGAACACTTGGCAGTGGAGCGTGGGATGAGGGCCCTGCCACACTGCTGGGAACTCCCCTGCTTGCAGGCGCAGCCGCCAGCCGCCCACACCTGACCTGGATGGGGTGGTCCTGGCACGCTCTCTCTGGAGCAGGGTGCTTTAGTTTTGAGAATGGGGGTGGACGGACCTCTGCTCCCGTATGTTGTTTTCACGTGTTCTCTTTCTAGACTGGACACCCCATGGTGTCTTCTCCCTATGACTCGCGGTGCACCCCAGACACCTAGGGAATGCCGAGTGCACGGTGGGTGCCTCGCAGTTACGGGCGAGGGCACGAACCTCCAGCTAGCCTTCTCTGCTCCCCACCCAGGCCCCGGCCTCCTTCACTGCCAGAGCCAAGGGCCCTACTCATGGGCTCTCTTCACTAGCTCCAGCCCCACCAGTATTCACCCCCCACACGGCCTCCAGTGTCCCCCCTCCCCTCGCCAAAGGGCATTCATTCTGCTGTTCATGCCTGAAAAACCCATCAAACCCACTGCCACAGTTGTTTCCGACACACAGGGACCCTAATGGACAGAGAACCGCCTCACATGGTCCCCAAGGCTGTACAACTTTAGGAAGCAGACTGCCTCGTCTGTCTCTTGCAGACCACCTAGAGGGTTTGAACTGCCAACTGTTCCCGTAGTGGCTGAGCACTTCAGCTCCTGCGCCACCAGGGCTCCTTATGCCTCCAGAATTAAGTCTAAACTTGGCATAAACGGTCTTCTAGAGCCCAACTCTATTCTAACTCACCAGTTTCTCCTATTAATCTTTTGATGTTCAAATTCTATGGAATCTCTCGTCTATTCCTGACCCTGTCAGGCGCCAGGCCTTTGCACATGCTGGGCTCGACACGAAATATCTTCTCCCCTTTCCCTGGCAAATTCCTTAACCAGTATTTACTGAATGTCTGATGTGGAGATACTGTGTAGGAGGTCAGAGAATCAAAGAAACACAGGCAGGTCTCCCCACCTGGCAGACACTGAAGAGCCCAGGACACACACAGTGGGAGGTGTGCCCAGTGCACTGGAGAACAGGGCGTCACTTCCTTGATGAAGGTGAACCAGGGCAGAGGACCAAAGACATGGGGAAGTGTTCATGGGTCCCAAAGCCCTCCCCAGAATCCCCCTAAGTCTCCACATCCTCACTTCCACAGCCACTTACTGGCTGCACTCATTCACGGAGTCAGGTACTGAAGACAGGGGCCCACAGTCCAGTGGGCTTCATGGCAAGGTGCCAAGTCCCGCCACAGACGCTCCATGGCAATAACTGGGGTCACCGTACTAGAAACAGATGACTTCATTTTCACAGCTGCCGTGTCTCGTGAACGACAGGGAGCTCTGGTGGTGCAGTGGTTCAGGCATTTGGCTGCTAACCAGAAGGTCAGTAGCTCAAACCCACCAGCTACTGCCCAGGAGAGAGATGAGGCAATCTGTTTCCATAAAGATGACAGCCTTGGAAACCCTATGGGGCAGATCTACTCAGTCCTCTAAGGGTGGTAAGTCAGAATCCACTCGATGGCAGGGGACTGGGGTTTGGTTTCTGGAGTCTTATGACTAGTGTTGTTGTTGTTGTGTGCTGTCGACCCCTTCTGGCTCAACACTATAGGACAGGGGAGAACTGCCCCACAGCGTCTCCTAGAATGCTGGCAGCTCTTCTCTCCCATGCAACGGCTGGTGGGTTCTAACCGCTGACCTTGCAGTTAGCAGCCTAGCACACACTCTGTACCTCCAGGACTCAGCAGCCATACAAACTAAAATTATGTACTGACAAAAGTTTAGGTCTCAGAACTCCATCTGTTGCCTTTGTAGCTGCCTTCTCTTGGTAACAGCATCCTAATGTCGGCGATCCTTTCTCCTCCACTGGGTGGAGTCCTAGGGCCAGAAACCAAGGTGCCATGCACTTTCCTCTCCAGGTGCCAAGGTGGATTTGACTCGCTGGGGTGTGTGCATGCTCACACCTGGATTCTCAACACTGAATGGAGAGAAAAGGAAGCTCGAGCTCTTTCATCCCCACTGGACTGAGGCTGCAAAGTCCCTGCCACCTGCAGCCCCACAGCCTCTGAGTCCGGTGTCTACGCAGCTTTCCCGTGCATTCTCTGCCTGGTCCCATATTGTTCCACAATCCCTTTCTACCCATTAGAGCCAACTTTTTTTTTTTTTAATCTGCAACAAAAATCTCCTTGCTAACGAGAAGATTAATTTATGTCATCAATCTTTTTTTCCCCTAATGACAATGCAAGGTTATGCTGCTCTCAGGTGCCGCTGCGCTGATTCCGACTCACGGCGACCCTGCACACAGCAGGATGAGACGCTGCCCGGCCCTGTGCCGGCACCACACCCCCTGCCCCGCCTGAGCCCACTGATGCGGCCACTGGTCCACCCATCTCGTTGAGAGCCTTTCCCCTTTTCTCTGACGCTCCACTTTACCGAGCATGACATCCCTCTTCAGGCAATGGTCCCTTCTGACCACATGACTAAAGCAGGTGAGATGAAGTCTGGCCATCCTTGCTTCTAAGGAGAATACACACCAAAAAGCCATAAAACCCTTAATTCCACACGCCTGACACAACGGATATTAACACTGTTTGCTTTTACGCTTTTGTTCTAAGTGAGCAGATGAGGGCTTTTCTCTCCGAGATAGATGAGTGAACCACAAGAAGCCTATTTTAGCACTCAAGTCAGGTGGTACGCATTTTCTGGGGAGGAAGAGGTTGCTATGGTCAAGTTAAGTGGACCAAATAGAGAGGTCATTGTCATTCTGGGAGTAACACTTTAAGGTACTGTATGTGACTTATTGATCTTCAAAAGCCCTAATTTTAGATAATGAAGTACTATTTGATAGCATGTGGTAAAATGCAGGAAATGTGAAAGCCGAAACCATGCCATGCTACTTTAGCCCCTGAATAGTTTTCCGTGTACTTAGAAAGGTAAGACACACAGGCGTGAGCCAAGAATATCCCCCCTTCATCGGCATTTTTGGTGAAATTGACCTGCTTCCTAGGTCAGACAGCCAAATCTGCTTTATATGACACCAGCTCTTACGTGTACAAACAGGACATGAAAACCAGGTAAGTGACTGCTGCAGCGGGCAAATGTGCTGCAAAAGGCCTCTTAAAATGTTAAGAAGCAAAGACGTCACTCTGAAGACTAAGGTGCACCTGAACTCAAGGCATGATGTTTCCAATGGTCTTATATTCATGGGAGAGCTGGACAATGAGTAAGACAGACCAAAGAAGAGTTGATGCATTTCAATTGTGGTGTTGGTAAAGATACCATGGACTACTGCCACAAGAACAGACAGATTTGTCCTGGAGGAAGTACAGCCAGAATACTCCTTAGAAGCAAGAATGGCCAGACTTCACCTCACCTATTTTGGTCATGTTGTCAGAAGGGACCAATCCCTGGAGAAAGATGTCATGCGTGGTTAAGTGGAGGGTCGACGAAGAACAGGAAGACCCTCAATGACATGGATCGACCCAGTCACTGGCTGTCACGATGGGCTCAAGCCCAGCAGAGACTGTGAGGATGGTGAACACCCGGCAGTGTTTCGTTCTGTTGTACACAGGGTCATAACGACTTCCTGAGTCAGAGCCGACTTAACGACACCGGACAACAACATTTTAAGAATAGAACCCTTATACTTGTATTGAGGTTATGGGACATTATCTTGACCGAAACAATGCTTTTATGGTGAAGATACTGATTACCATTATCCTGATCAATTGTCAGTATAGCAACAGCTTTGTTTCAATGCAAAATTAATTTAAAAATTAGCACTTTAATATATGATTAAACATTTGACACTAAATACTCCAATCGTCAAATGAAACATTTACTTTTAGGGCCCCCCCTCCCCCCGTTTTGGTAGACATTTCTGTGTAAGGTGCTAGAAGAATGGTTTACTGTCTTGGACTTCAGAAGAAAACGCTAGCAACCATGGTTTGGAAGAGTCCATTTACTTTTGGAAAGCAAGCAGGCTGGAATCAAGACACAAAATGAATGCCTGAAGGATCCCATGACAATGGGGGACTGAAGCCTCTGCAAGGGACCAGGTCTCTGAAATGTGTCCAGGAGAACATTTCACGACAAACACTCCTGAAACCAGGAGCCCAGCACCCTTATGTCAGCTTGGACTAGGAAGTGGAGCTGAAAGTTTTTCAACCAGAGCCCAACACAGTTTCATCCCACAAATGCAGCACTGAGAGCTCAGAAACTTCCGATTCAAATAGATGTTCTCAATCCCAGTGACTTCAGAAACACAAACAGGACCAGGACCGAGGGAGGGCAGGCCTGCTGAAGACAGAAACAGGGAGAGAGGGCCTGCAGAAGATGGCCACTGCCACAACAGTAACATCTGACGACAGGTTGCAATGGCTGAACACACAGAACACTCGGATTCACCCACCACCAAAGCTGGGCGCGGACAGGAGTTACTAGGTGTAAGGACAAAGAACCCTGAAACCTCCACAGATCCCAGAGGGGCTGC